TGTAAAAACAGAAATCCTTGTACAGCTGGGAACTTGTAAAAACAAGCCTGAAGCTACCAGAATTTTTAGCTTTACAGTATAAACGAGAAACTAAATTCTCCACTGCAAAACATATACGTACCTATATATGCTCACGATTTTGACAATGAGACTCATTCATGCAGAAGAAGACACTTTCCAGGTGAATATTTCCTTGTTCTGGCATCACACGCTGAGTAACGTGATTAAAGAGCGTTTATGAAATATTTGGGACTGTGCTGCTGGGAACTCTGAACAGAGGGGAAAGTGGCATTGTGTGTGTTTGGGGTGGCCCTAGGTGAGCGAGGTGATCTGCAGGCCAAGTGAGAGGTGAGGTTCTGAAAATGGAAGCTTTTCCAAGACAGAGTTTAGGGTCTGAAGGGAGTGACACGCATGCAGTTTTGTCTCACATAACGATTGCGGTGAGATTGCAAAGGTTATTATTTCTGGATATTTCTGGTAGTCGGTGCTGTGCTGCTAACAGCACCTCCAGGATCGAGCCTGCCTCCAGATATCAATTAGAAAGGGAGCGAAGCGGGCTCTGGAGAGAAAGCGGGGCAGCGGCCGGCCCAGCCCGGGCTGCCGGGGCTGGAGCCGCCGGGTCCCGGAGCACCTCCGTTCTGCTCTCCCCGCGGGAACACGGAGGTCCCTCGCGTAGGTAACGCAGGAAAATGCCTCCGTCTCGGCCTTTTAATACATTAAATCTGATTAATTTTCATTGAGGCTAGAATATTTTATTTCCCGCAGTACATTTCGTTAATTCTCGTGAGCGCCGTGGTGCGGGACAGACCCGCGAGTGCCGCGTTTCCATATACTCTCCTATTCCTGTGTTTGTTATGGGGATAAGTAGTCCACGATCTTAAAGACTAGTAGTACTTGGGAAAATAAAAAAGGAAGAAACTAGGAATACTTGACACAGTAGCATGCTGACCGCTCTGTCCCGGATGCTTTGGTGGCTGTGCCGAGGAAGGAAGGGTGCTGCGAGGACGGAGGGCGGACCGAGAGCGCCCGGTGCTTCCCGGCTCCCGGAGCCCTGCGGCGCCGCGGGTCCCGCTCCTCAGGGAAACGGGACTCGGAAGAAGGCTCGCCCGGGGCCGCTTTTACATCCAGGTCACTGCTACGTGAGCCAAAAGACTGCGCGTTAACGTGGGTATGGCCGCAGTGTGCCCGGGCTGGAGCGGTAGCTCCTCAGGCGGCACCAGCCGTGAGTCCCACCCCGGAGCGGAGCAGGAACCGGAGGACAGACAACGGGGCTGTGTCGCCTGTCGCTGTCCGCATCTTGATGAGGGAGGTGGGAGCCCTGCCCCAGTGCCTGCAGGCGGCGGCTGTGCTGGCCGAACGGGAGCGGGGCTCTCCGAGCCAGGGGCATCCCGGCGCTCCCCGCCGGAGACATGTTTTCTCTCTCTCTCTCCAAAAAAAAAAAAAAAACCACCAAAAACAAACAAACAAAAAAAATCCAACCAAAACGGAACAAAACAAAAACAAAAAAAAACTTTGGGAGAGGGAGGCTGCCGCATTTTCAAACAAACGACCCAGGTAGAGTCGCCTCTGCTTCCTGCACAGGGTGAGTAGAAAAAAGCCCACTCTGGCTACTCGAGCCTTATCAGCGCTGCAGCTGAAGGCACGGCTTTCGTGGGAAGCGTGGTCCGGGCTGCGGGGACCAGCCGTGCGGGCTGTGCCCTGCCCCGTGTCCCTGGGGCGCTACGAGACCCCCGGCGCTTGCCGTGTCCCGCTCCGCTGTTCCACCCGTGCTACGGGCTCAGCCGCCGCCCGGCCGGAATACGGGACCCGGGGCCGCAGCGGAGGGTGCGTGCTCTGTTCGGGAAGGTAGACCCGGTGCGGCTCGGCAGCGGCGCAGCCCCGATTTGCAGCACCTCTCGGGGCGCTTCTTAGCGGAGGTGCGCGGCCGGGGTTGAGCCCCGCTCTGCCCGCCTCCTTCCCGGCTTCCCTGCACTGGGGACGGGCTGAGGCCGGGGCTATTCTGCCCTCGTGTGAAGAAAGCGAGAGCCCTTTCCCCGCCGCCTCTCTGCAGCGGGCCAGGTTACGGGCACCGGCGCCGTGAGCTCTCTCCACTGCGAGCTTCCCTCCTGCTTCCCCTACCCCTAGGGTGACCGCAGGACCGGGCCGGGAGCAGCTCCGCTGGCTCCTTCTGCGCTCGCTTTGCCCGGGATGTTCGACTCCTGCCTGCCCCGGGAGCGGCGGGGCGCGGGCTCACCCAGACGCACCGGCAGATCGCGCCGCTCCCCGGGGATCCCCGATCCTTCTCCCGGAAAGGGCTCTCCGCGCTCCACTGCTCGCTGCCCGTCCCAGTTACTCGCATCCTCCTCACTGTGACATTTCTGTGTGTGCTGATAAGCCCTCAGCTCCCCGCTCAACCGCAGCTATAGGGTACAGCTTCATGGGCGTGCTCCTGCGCTTTCAGGTGCTTCTTTCATGTCCCTCGAAGGGCTTAATTAGGAGAGGGGAAAGCCTGGCAGCGCCTGCCTGTCCTGGTGTCAAACGTTCCAGTAGCCTCACACTGGGCTGCGCGCTCACCTTTGCCGCTGCTCGACCCGATCGCCGCTCCCAGCGCTGGGCTGAGCTTCTGCCCTGGTGTTCATCCCAAATCCCCCTTCGTCGGCTGTCAAAAAAACCCAAATAAGCCCCTCGGATGTCAAATGTCCTTTGCGAGCGAGCGAGCCCTGATAAGGAGCTACGCGCCCGGCTTAGGAGTGAGAAGAGAGGAATGTGCCATTTGGCGGAGGTGATGACACAGGCGGCAGCGCTGTTACACCTGCACCGGCCCTCGCCGCGGAAATGCCTGCGAGGGGGAGCGCCGGGAGCAGCATGGGTGGCCGGCAGAAAGAAGTTCGCCCTGGCCCTGGGGAGCCCGGCAGCCCCGTCCTGGCGGCGGGGCACAGCTGGCTCCGGCTGCTCCGCCGCCCTGCGAGGGGCGAGCCACTGGGGGCCGCCCGGGGAGGAGAAACCTGGAGAGGGTCTCTCCTGCGGGCCTCGTCCCTCCGCCGTTTCGTTTGTGTGCCTTGGGGAGGTGCCTGGGGCGGCGTGCGCTGCTCCGCGGCTGGGTGCGGAAACAGACGGGCCTCCTGCCTGTGACCAGAATCATAGAGCCCGGGTTATGGGCCACGCATTCCTCCGTCCACGGGAGATGAGGGATTCGTTATATGGCCATGGAAGAAGATGTAGAAACGTATTTTAACTGAGGAGTATAATATATGTATATATATATATATATATATATATATATATATATATATATATATGTAAATATAAGAGTTCCCCGAAGAATTCGTTTATTTCTCGGTTAAAAAACGTTTCTACATCGCCGTCTGCCTTCACCCCCAGTTAGCCTCTCCCGGGACGGGGAGCGGGGACTCGTGACCAGGCACAAGAACTAGAGATCCGCGCATCAGCCATCGAAGCCCCAGGCGCGCCTCGACCGAAGAGGCCTGGCTGCACCGGGCACGCACGTTCGGGTGCTGCCAGCCCCCTGGGCTCATGCTTGGTTACCAAAATTGGTGTAGCACGTAAAATCTGCGGGGCGGAGAACAATGTGTTCACGTTCAAGAAAGGCAGGAGCGAGTCTGAGGGCCGTGAGCTGGCGGCCGGCGGAGCTGCGGGCGCCGAGCTGAGCGTGCAGCTGCTCCCAGGGCCGCTTCTGGGCAGCCCGGGCTGTGCTTGAGTACGGGAGAAGAGGTCGGGTCCGTGCGGAGCCGTGTCCGCAGCACCGGGCTCACGGCAGTGCCACACCCCGAGGGCCGAGCGGGGCCGGGCCGGGAGCGCAGGTAGTCCCGGCCCTGCGGAGCTCGGCCGGGCTTTAGCGGCTGCCGGCGGCCGCGTTATCTGATGGAAGGGCTCGGGGGTCAAACGGGGCCAGTCTGCTCCATTGCCGGTGAAAGGACTGAAGGCTCCGTTAAAAATCAGTGCAAAGAGTCCTCTGCCCGCCACTTTGCCCGTGTCTGAGCAGCTCCGTGTTACTGGTTTGTTAAAACGTTGTTATAATCTTGTGCCCTGGCCAGCTGAGACGGCCTGTCTGCTGTTCGGGGAGGCTCTACCTGAAGGCAGGAAAGGGGAAGGAGTGAGGGAATGTCAGTGCTCCAGGAACCGTGTGAAATACGATGAAGCCCTCCAGGGAAGCGGTCAGGAAAGCTGCCTGGTGTGTCATCCCCCGCCCCGCCACCCTGCCCCGGCCCTCGAGTCGCCTGTCAGCGCGTACTTTGCGGGGAGAGAGAAGGGGCGACCTGACACCTTTTGCTCTCTTGCCTCCTGCAAATAAGAGCTGCAAGAACCGACTTGCAGGGAGCGGCAACAACCTCCTTGTGCTCTCCGGGAGCGATCGGTTGGCGGGGCCCGCGGCCAAGACATATAAACGCGGCCGCGTGTGCGGCTGGCCGTGTGACAGCCGCCGTGGCGGGGGCGAGCGCCGCGGGCACACCCCCTCGCACCCACCGGGCGGGCGGGGAGCGCAGCGCCGCGGGCCCCACCGGGCTCCGAGGTGGGCGGCAGAGGTTCCCCGAGCACCCCCCGGACACCGCCCCCCGCCTCCCCGCCCCCGGCGGCGCGGCGGGGCCGGGGCGGTTCCGCGCCGTTCCGCGGGGCCACGTCGGGCCGCGTGTGCGCGGGGCTGAGCGCGGCGCCGTGACTGCGGGGTGAACTCGGCCGTGCCCAGCGGCTCGGCCGCGATAGGGGAGCGGGCTCTTGACGAAAGCGGAACTCGGCCGGGCCCATACAAATCAGAAAAGAGCCCGGCCGCCGCGGCAGAGGGGAGCGGAGCCCGCGGGGGCAGGGACGCCGCGGCCGCCGCGCTGCACGGACCAGCGGCGCCGCGAGAGGCACCTCCCCATCTCCGTCCCGGTCCCGGCTCCGGCCTCGATCTCGGCGAGCGCGGGGCGGGACTGCCCCCGGCGCCGGGCTCCGCGCACCGGGCAGCGCTCGGCACCGCGCGGCGCTGCGCTGGCCGCCCCGGGCGGCGGACGCGGGGCACCATGATGAGCAATTACCCGGACGGCGAGGAAGACACAGTGGCGCTACTGGCTCATGACACCAGCGGCAGCAAGGAGCCGGAGCGAGTCAAGGAGGAGCTGAGCACGGACAAGGGCCCCGAGAAGCCGGACCCCTCGCAGAAGCCCCCCTACTCCTACGTGGCCCTAATCGCCATGGCCATCCGGGAGAGCGCTGAGAAGAGGCTCACGCTGTCTGGAATCTACCAGTACATCATCAGCAAGTTCCCTTTCTACGAGAAGAACAAGAAGGGCTGGCAGAACAGCATCCGCCACAACCTCAGCCTCAACGAGTGCTTCATCAAGGTGCCCCGGGAGGGCGGCGGCGAGCGCAAGGGCAACTACTGGACCCTGGACCCCGCCTGCGAGGACATGTTCGAGAAAGGCAACTACCGCAGGAGACGAAGGATGAAACGGCCTTTCCGGCCGCCTCCGACCCACTTCCAGCCTGGCAAGACCCTCTTCAGCCCAGACAGCTATGGCTACCTGTCCCCGCCCAAGTACTTGCAGTCCACCTTCATGAACAACTCGTGGCCGCTGGCGCAGCCCCCCGCGCCCATGCCCTACACCTCCTGCCAGATGTCTGGCGGGAACGTCAGCCCCGTCAATGTGAAAGGACTCTCGGGCCCGGCGTCCTACAACCCCTACTCGCGGGTGCAGAGCATGGCGCTGCCCAGCATGGTGAACTCCTACAACGGCATGGGCCACCACCACCACCACCCGCACGCCCACCACCCGCAGCAGCTCAGCCCCACCAGCCCCGCGCCGCCGGCGGCCCCGGCGGCGAACGGAGCCGGCCTCCAGTTTGCCTGCGCCCGTCAGCCCACCGAGCTGTCCATGATGCACTGTTCCTACTGGGAGCACGACAGCAAACACAGCGCCCTACACTCCCGCATAGACATCTAGGGAGGCTCCGGCCGGCCGCCGTCACAGAAACGCACCGGCCCCGCTGCTCCTCTCCCATCCCGCCGCGTTCCCCTGTGCTCTCGTGTCTCTTCTCGTCCCTTAGCTGCAGACTTTCCTCTCTCTCTGCCCAGACTGTCGCAGTGGGTAAATAGCAGCCTCGCCTCGGGTGTAGTGTCAGTGCAGGAGCCGTCCGGCCATGAGAAGAAGGCAGTGTAAATGTGGGAGCTTCCCCGCGGGGCTGCGCCGGGCGTCGGCGGCCGGGCCGCCTGTCTCCGAGCGAGTGGGGATTCACCGAGTGTTTCTCTGCTTGTGTGTGTGTGTGTGTGTTTGTTTGTGAGTTGTTAGTTTTGGTTTGGTTTTGGTTTGTTTGGGGTTTTTTTTTGGTGGGGCAGGGGAGCATGTAATTAAAAAATAAGCTGTTTAGCCCTCAAAATTATGCTCCTTTGCAATTCGGCCGTAATCTTTTCGGGCTCGGCCTTGAGGAGAGTAAAGTGGAACTTGTAAATAGCGGAGGCATTTTCACGCGTGCGGTGCAGGGCTGACGGGGCCTATACACCACTGTGTGCCCGCGGTGCTCGTCCTCCTCCTTCTCTTCGCGTTTTCTGTCTTCTTCCTCGCTCTGCAAAGCACTGCGCTTCTTCCGAGCTGTGCCTTTTCGTTAAAATAGTACTTAACGTGGGGACTGCTGTAACAGCAGATGTGCGATATTGCTGGTTAACACAAACCAAAAAACAAAACCTGTCAGATCACTCCTGAAACGTTTCAGCAGTGGGAAATGTATTTTTTAAAGGAGACAGTGTCCTCTGAGGTCTTAAAAGTAATTTTATACAAGTCTAAAAAAATATTTTGATGTTATTAAAAAAGAAAAAGAGACGGTTTCCTGTAAATTAGAATATTTTTCAGTGTGCATATTATTATTAATAATGAAAGTTTAAACTATCTTCGTTTTTTTCCCCCAAACCTGGCCCCAAATGGATTTTCCAGTAGGTTCTGCTTTTGAGTGCTTGACCTTTTTCTTAAAAAGTTTTGATCCTTCAGTTTTACATACGGTAATGTGAAAAATATAGCGTTTATAAAACAGGGGCCAGTTCATAGCGATTCTGTAAATGTTTGTGTAAGCTGATAGATACTGTGGCATAGTACCATTTTGGGACCAACTTTTCTAGAGTGAACTAGCACTTTTATTGTACTTTCTAGCATTGTAAAGTCTCCAATAAAATGCCTTTCCTTCTTTCCATATCGTTTTATTTCACTCCGCTCCTCCGTGCTCGGGATCGGTTAGCGGCGGCAGGAATGGGGCGGGCGGCGTGTGCCAGGGCGGCTCCGGCGGCGGGCACCGCTCCCGGGACCGCTCCCGGGGCCGCTCCGCCGCGGGAACACGCGGGCTGTGCCCGGACTCTCCATCGGCTCCGTGATGCACCGGCGAGCTGCGCTCCCACCGAGAGCTCCTGCGGGGCCGCGCCGGCCGCTGCGGGACCGTTTCGGTGGCTCCACAGGGGTGAGCGCGGCCGGGCACGGAAACGCCTCCGCTCCGGGACGCGGCAGCTGCCGGCACCTCGCCCGTGTGCCCAGCCCTCCGGGCAGTGCCTGCGGCTATGCCCGTAGCGGACCCCGGCTCCGCTTTCATTTCTCCCCCGCCTGCTCGGGGCGGCTCCGCGTTATCCCGGGCCCGGCCGCGCTGCACAGCGGCCTGCGCCCCATCCGGGCCCCGGCCGGGGACGGAGCCGGGAGCCGCCGGCGGGTCCCTCTTTCCTCACCGGGCCGATGGCTGCGGCAGCGGCGCTCCAGAGGCCTGGGCCTCGCTTCGAAACCTGCCGGCCCACAGGGACAGCGGCCCCTGCGCGGGCGCCTGTGGGTCAGGAGGGGATGGGGCAGGAGGGGTGGCCCTCTCCCGGTGCCGGCCCGGGACGCAGTGGGTCTCCTTAGACGCCGACCTGGGCCAGGCCGGCAGTTCTGCGGCAGGAGTGGGGATGCGGGTGTTCGGCTTCCCGGGATGCTCCCTGTCCCGGAGAGGGACTGCAAGGGGCGAAAACCAGTGCTGGGGGTGAGCACTCCCCGCCTGTTGCTGGAGGCCTGCAGCGTGACCCGCGGGTCAACCAGGCCCTTGCCCGGCTGCCTGACGGTCTTCCCTTTTGCTAGGGCCTGCTGCAGCCTCTCTGAACGGGAGGAAGCGGCAGCTTCCAGCCTGGGCACAGAAAGCCGTGGGGGGAACGTGGGGACCGGTCGCCTCTCTGCCGCGGCGCCACTCGGCGAGCACGGCCAGGGCAGAAGGGCTCCAGGGGCACCCTCCGGGCCAGCCCGGGCGCCCTGCTGTGCCCCCTGGCCCCGCTGCTTAGGCCCTGTCCCCAGCGGGAGAGCGCTGAGAGCGCTGGTACGGCCGAGGGGCTCCACTCCGGGGCCAACAGGGAGGCACAGGGGGTGCAGCGAGCGGAGCTGTGAGAGGAGGCGGTGCCGCAGCCGCTCCGCGCTGTGCGCGGGGGCTCCGGGCCGAGCGCTGCCCCGGGTGCCGGGAAGGAGAAAGCCTGGCCTCTACACGAACACTGGTGTAACGATGGGGCGAAAGGCCGGAGAGGGGCTACCAGTGCGCATGGGACACGACCGCGACTCGCGCCTTTGCCACCCGTGCCTCTGCGGGAGAGGAGCGCTGTCCCGAGACTCAGACCTGCCCGCGGCCTTCAGGCGGGAGCAGGTGGTGGAGGGGAGAGGGAGCACCGCTCACAGGCCTCGGGGATCGCAGCTTTGCACCGGAGGGCTCAGGGCCTTGGCTGCTTGTTACTTATTTAATAGGTACTGCCAGTCCCGCTAATTTCCTCCGCGGTGCGTCGGAAACAAGGGAAACCCCCGCCGCCGGAGGTGGGCATGGGGAGAAGGGAGGGAGGGATTACCGCCCCGGACCCTGCACAGGCCCACCGGCGCCTCCACGGTGTCCTTCCTGGGCTGTGCCGTCGCTCGGCCGGGCTGCAGCGCCCTTGGCAAGCACCCGGCGACTGCTGGGGCTCGGCGGCTTTGGGTGAAGCGATAGCTGGCAGTGCCAGGTGCTGCGGGAGAAGGCAGCAGCCCGGGACCGGGCAGGGTCCTGCGGCCCCCCGGGCTACTCCGATTCCCGGGGGTCTTTACTAGTGCTTTATCAGTGCCCGTCTGAGTACACACAGAGAGACAGAGAGCCGCGCGTTTGGGAAAGGAGCGGGCCGGCAGGGCCGTGAGGTCGCTCTCCGGGCCGGGCCGGTGCCCAGTCCGTCTGTCTGACTCCTTGTGCATGGATGAGGCTCCGATCGCCTTCGCCCTGGGCTCCCCTCGCCACTCCCGGACAGCAGCGCGGCCCCGAGTCAACTGCGGCCATTGCGCCTGTAGGATGTTTTCACGATCGTTTTCTGTATTTTATAAACAGAGACTGCACTGAATGTAAACTTCACAGGGAAATCACGGCGAGAACCCGGCCGCCGTCCCGGGCTGGCCTGGCGGCGCTTGCCGGGCACTGTCGGGCTGTGGCCCGGGGCAGGGCTGGTCCTGCGGGCAGCAGCTCGGCCTCTGCCGCTGCCGGGAGCGGCCGGGCCGCCCGGTCAGTCCTGCCGGCCTGGGGAGGGGGGCGGCCATCACGTCCCTGCTCGCTGTGCTTGCCTGGGCAGCGGGGGCCGGCCCGTGGGGAGCCACCGCGGATCGCGCCGTGTGATGCTGAACACCCAGGCACCGACACGCAGGGACTAAGTGTCCCATACGACCCCGCTGGGCAGCCTGGCTGATGGGTAGGATCGGGCTGCATCCCGACAGCGGCATTTGGGACGACAAGGGCTGGGCAGGAGAAGGGGTCTGTACCGACCCCTCGTGCAGGCAGCTCCGTGGGCACGAACAGCGCCAGGGGTGCTCCCGGCGGCTCAGAAGTCCCTCGCTCCGGGCCGCCACGTCAGCCGATCCCGTGGGTCCCACCTGCCCCCGGCCGCGCCGCCGCCCAGCCCCGTCGACCCCTTTACAAAAGCCGAGCTCTTGGCAAGAGCTGGGTTTGCGCGTTGTGTAAGGTCTTTCCCCGTTATATAAAGGACGGCAGGGGGAATGCTCCACGGAGCGGGACGCGCTCCCCGGGACAGCACCTTGGCGCTGAGCCTCCTCCGGCCGCGGGGCTGCTCCGGGGGCCAGAGCCGGGCCAGGGGGCCTCAGGGCGGCTGAGCCGCCGCCACTGCCCTTTCGGAACGGCCCCGAGTTTACGCAACGCTGGAGAAAGATGAAAGCAGAAGAGCGAGGGGTGTTTTCTCCCTGCCCGGAGCGGGCGTGGAAGCAGCCTGCCTCGGCCACTGCGGGAGAGGCAGCGCTGCCCGTGCCCTTCGGGGGAAAGGCCGGGTTTTTCCCCCGACGCTGAGCGGGCTCCCACAGCCCTTCTGCTGCTCTGGCACACCGGGGCAGTGCCAACCCGGCGGGATGTTCTGCGGCTGTAGCTTTTTCTTCCTCTCAGGTCCTTTGCGGAGGCCGCAAAGGTCCTTTGAACCCCTGGCCGGAGTCAGAGGGTGGCAGAGCCCTCGGCACCCCGGCCGGTCCCCGCCAGCACGGCACGGCACGGCACGGCTGCCCTCTGCCTGTGGGCCGGCGGGAGCGCGAGTGCTGAGGGACCCCGGGAGAGCTACTTCGGCTCCTCTAGTCGTGCCTGGAGCGAGTGGGCGACGGTGGCGGTGGCTGCGGGCAGGGCAGGGCAGAGCCGTGCTCCGTGGGGAGACACACACAGGGCTCTTACCTTGCGCCCTCCCTCCCACTCTGGCCGGAGCGCCAGGTTAATACCGCCTGATTCCTGGTATTCTTGTCCGTGTTTTAAGTGGTGAAAAAGTCACTTCCAGTCCCATGGTCCGCGTTTCACCCTGAACTCATTGAAAAGAGAGTGCGGGGTCAGGACTGTTTATTATACAACCAATTAAAACAGGAAAATATGCAAAGGCTTCATTCAGCAAGATCCGGCTATTGTTAAGCCGAAAACGATATTTTTGTTTCAAAAATAAAAAAGTACATTTGTTACTTAAAAAATCTCCGCTCTGCGTGTGTGACGGACGCGGCTCCCGCCGGTCGGGAGCGCGGCGAGCTCCGGCGACCCCAGCTCGCCGCCTGCCCTGCACCTCGGGCCCGACCCGGCCGGGGCGGCCGAAGGGCGGCTCGACGGGGCGGGCAGGGACCGGGGACCCCCTCCTCCCTCCCCGCCGGGCTCGACCCTCCCTGTGGGGTCAGCTCCTGCAGCCAGCCTCAAACGTGGGGGGCCAGCTCCGTGCGGGGGGGCACGGGCAGCCGGTGTGATGTTTTGGGCAATAGAAGCCGATGAAAAAAATACTGCGAGGACTAAAAAGCCGGACACTGTAGCGGGCTCATTCAGAGCCGGGATAACCAGACAAGAGAGCCCCAAGAAGCGCTGCAGAGCCCCGAGAGCGACGCTGAGCCCCGCCAGCGGCGCCGGCAGCTCTGGGCACACCTTGGCAGCCGGGAGCGGGAGAGAGAGAGAGGCCACGGGCGGGGCTCCCGGGTCTGCCGTTCCCCTCCGACTTCTCCCTTCACCTCTGCGGAATCCCCCAGAAGTCCATTGCTGGGGGTGCGTGGCATCGCCGCCCTTGGCAGGGCTGTGCTCTGCGGCGGTGTCACATCTGCCTCGCAGCAGGGATGCGGCCCCGCACAGGGCAGGCACGGAGGGGGCTCATCCCGGCGGGATCGCCCCCCGCTCCGCCGCCCCCCGGAGCCGCCGCGGCATCGCTGCCCGCCCCAGGTAGCCCTCGGGGATGTGCTCAGCAGCGGGCCTGGGAAGCGCTCACCAAAACAATCGCTCGGGCTGGCCTAATCCAATGAGTTTATTTTAGTCCTAGAGC